TTTAAAAAATATGAATAATCTATCTTAAACAATGGTAAAATTCTGTTTTCTATTGTGAATTTTGAGAACGGTTTTTTAATTGCGGATGAAAAATTGTAATTTAGCCTAAATATGTTAAATTAATGACGATTTTGATTACATTATTAAAAACTTGAGAGATGAATCTGATAATTGAACCTATCTGTGTTGTCAGAGAAGATAATTGTGGGTGTTATGCCTTTTGCTTCTCGTTAAATAAACAATGAACCAAGAAGGTACACACTGCTGCTCTAGTACAAATGTCGTTCTGACAGAAGGACTACATGTTACCATTCCTTGGACTCGGGTCTGCATTTATTGAAAGGAAAATTGATTCATGCACACTAAATAAATGAATATCAAAGTTTAATATTAATTTAAAAATATAAATTACAATTATTATAAATTCTCTCTTATTTAAATATTTTTAAATAAAAATAATTCGATTTCTCTTTTCTTCTTTCAAAAATCATTTTTAAATAAACCCTTAATCAGGAAAGGAAAACTTTGCTAGTTTGTCTGACACGTTATCACACACTTCCAAAGGATATTTTAGGGGCGGAGACGACGTAACACACGAGTATTTTTGAAAATTTTAAAAATATCAAATAAATAATAAAAGATAATTTAAATGAAAGTAAACAAATAATAAAAAATTTATAAATAATTATTATTACAATTTAAATATAACAAAAGAGTTTATAAATTCTGTCTAAAAATATATTATTTAAACTTTTTATTTGATATAAAAATTTAAAACTCACGACCCATTCTCTCCCACTAAAGTCACTCCATTTGCCCATGATAAACTTCTCTTTTATCCCAACAATATGGTTAATTTATCATAAAATATAAAAAGATAGATCTATTTTGTTTACTATTTGAGGATATCATAATAAAATAAAACTTAAAAGATGTTGAATATTTATTTATAATAATTTTATAATTATTGAATTATTTCTAATAATATCTTTTATTTTATTTATTACACTATTTACTCTATTTATTTGATTGATAAATAAACAAATGATAACATTTTAAAACGAAAATAAACCCAAAATTGTTATTTCCTAAAACTATATTTATGTGGACAAATGTGTGTACGTAGAGCTTGCTAAAAGCTTAAAGATGTGTAGTTAACCAATTGAGTTAGAGTTAGTTCAACAAAATTTTTAAGCAATTAGCTGAGATATATTTTTTGACAAAAAAAATATAATATTATATTGATATAATATTAAGATTAAATATTACTTATTTATTTATTCTTAAATATTTAATTAAATAACTGCATAATTAATTTTATTTATCATCAATCTATTGATTAATACTTATGTATTATCAACCCATTACTTAAATAATTATTCAGTATTTTTCTTTGTAAAATTATCTTTTGTAAAATTATGTATACAATATGAATATGGGATTGTTAAAATTTTAAATTTTTTATTATTTGAATTAAAAATAGTTAATAGAAATCGTGAATGCATTTAAAAAAAATGTCCAGAAAACCTAAAATGTGAATGAGTTTTATCACATATATTTATAATTTATTTTTTATATGACCTTTATTTTATTTTTATTTTAGATTGAAGAATATTCAATAAAAATAATTTTGTTAGAAAATGAAAAAATATATGTTAAATAAAAGGGAAAATATGAAAAAATGATAAGTTTAGTCAATAAAAAATATAGAACAAACAAAAGTTATACATTATATATTTATACAATATATGATAACATTATAAAAGACTAATTTATATAAAATATTATTAATTCATTATTGGTGCATTTTAATTTGATTTGGTATAATTTTAATAATAAATAATAAATAAAATCAAACTGCAATATAAAATATGTCTTTTTATTTTAAAAAGTTCAATTCAATTTAATAATTTAAAAATACTTTAGTTCAGTTTTCAACATACCTCAAGAAATAATACTCCTTGAGGAAGAAGAATAGATGGATCCTTTCACTCCACCAACCAAAAGCAGTAGTACTTATTTGAAAAAAAAAAGAATATTTTTTATTATGGTATTATTATAATGTACATATTTTAATTCATTTATATTGATTTGGGGTCAAATTGACAGTTTTAATGTTTTATGCATGGAGATTATGTTATGATATTTCCAACAAATAACAATCTCAATATATAAATATATGTACTAATTTTATTTAATTTTAAAATAAACAAAATCAGCTCAAGGAGAATAGTCAAGTCCCATTGTTGTAAATATTAGGTGCCCAAGGGGGCATTGCGGGGTCCCACGTGTTTTCTATTTTGCTGCCATAGCCAATTAAAATAAACACTGCTTTAAATAGCAGTTTTCATTTTTATGGATAATATAAAAAATAGCAGTTTTCTTAAACAAATAATAACATTACTCTGATTAATAAGTCATCAAAGAGTCCTAACAACTAGCCTACTTTTTTTTTTTTTTAATATTTTGTCAAGTTGTTGTGCCTGTTGCTGTTGCAGTAATACAGACTCGTTGAGTATTACTATCATTAACTTTTATACTATTTCAATTGTTATTTATTTAGAAAAAAAATTAACTTAGTTTCATTTATTTATCTGTATAAAAAAATTTAAGACAATGTTAATTTTTTATATTTTCACTAATACTCTTTAATCTAAATAAAAATTTTAACCATGGTAAATAAAATATTTTTACCCTAATTAAATAATTATAATATTAAAAAAATACTTGTTAATAAAAGATATATCTACAAGTTTGTCAAGTTATTATTATAAAATATTACTTTTAAGTAGACCATGTATGTCTTCCATTAGAGATAATATATTGAATTGAGTAAAATTATCATCAACAGCAATATATTATAATTTAAAATCTCAAGTTAATTTATAACGACATCGTACAAGTTAATTTATATATATAAATTGAAACATAGATAATATTTTTACAGTTACCCTTTTTAAATTATTTTATTAATTTTAGTCTTTAAATTAATTTTAAATATCTAAAAAAATAAATTTATTGAAAAAATAATAGTTTAATGTAATAAATATTATTTACTAAAAAATTTTATTTTAGTTACTAAGTTCAACTCTAAGTGTCAAGTTAAAGTTTTTTTTTCTTATATAAATTTTTAGATTTTTCTTCTTATCTTTTATTCTATCCATTTTATTTTGTTTGATTTTTACTCATTTAATTTTATTAAAAAATTATTTTAAACTTGTGATCTTAAGTTTGCTAATAATAATTCTGTTTGACTCAAATAAAATTGTTTCTAAAAAAAAACTTATAGTTCAAACAAAAAAATTACTATTTCAAACCAACATTTATTTTAATATCTTTATATTTATATTTATATATAGATGATAACACTTAATTATTGTGAAAAATGAGAACAATGATATTCGTTAGATTAAATTTAATCATTCATATTAATTTTTAAAACTATTTTTATTCTCTTTCTTGTTTTTCATTATCCATGATGCTTCACTTTCTATTTTTTTTAAGCAACTGCAATGTGTTCTTTCCCATTCTTCACCATTTTCATATGCTGCTTCACCTATCTCTTTTGACATTTCTATGAGAAACATTTTAGTTTTGGAATGCCTTTGCTCAGCTTGGCATTACTTGTAGTCTAGTTCCACTATTTGAAAGACAACAATTATAAGGTCAAAATATGCTAATCCAATAATTATTATAAGTCAAGTATTAGCAAAAGTGAAATAGCAAAGACATAGTGATAGTGTGATAAGTATTATGAGCCTTATTCAACTTACTTTTATTTATATTTTAGCACTCCAATATTTGAAGAAACCATCTTTCTTAGATTATGCAATAAGCCATACAATAGTGTCAGAATACACGGAAGTGTCTAAAGACATAGTTGAGGGAGTGTGAAAAAAAAAAACAGTGAGTCACATGAACTTTTAATTATAAAAAGTAATCTGAATAGTTAAATTTAATCTAACAGATGATATTAATTATTCTCATAAATTCAATATATATATATATATATATATATATATATATATATATATATAATATTCTTAGTTATTGATTAAAATTTATTAAAGTATAAAAAATAATAATTAAAATAAAAATAAAAATAATTAAATTATGAGTAAGATCCATATATTTATTTAATAATTTTTAATATATATTAACTAACAACTAAAAGTATATTAAAAAGAGTATATTATTAGCATTTATTTAATTAATTAAATATGATAAACTTTTATTCTGAAAAGCATTTATTACTTTGAGAATATAAAAATGTAATAAATAATATATTTTTAAATAAAAGAATATTAATTTTGAATGATTAAAGTTAGTTTTAATACTCAAATTAACAAAAATAAAAAAAATATGAATAATTTTTTAAATTTGTGTTTGAAAGTATAAAATAAGAACTTAATTATAATAATTTTAATAAATTATTATTATTTTTAAAAAATTTAATATGAATAAAAAATGATTGATATATTAATTGAGTCTTGATATTAATATCAAACTTAAATATTTAAGTTACTTAATAACTTTTTTATAAAATGTGATATTAACCAATTTAACTGTTGATTTAAAAAATAATGTTGAAGTTAAGTAGATCAATTATATAAAATTTTATAAAATTAAAATTAAATATTTTTTAGTATTATTTTATTCTAACATATATTATATTTTAAAATATAAATAAATAATAAATTTTAAATAATAATTTTTATAAATATTTAAATTATATAAAATTAAATATATATATATAATAATTAAAATAATATAAAATAATTCAGCAATTCAAAGTCTTTGATTTTTTTATAAAGGCATCATTACTCATATTAATTATATTTATTTATTTATAAATAAGAATGGAAAAGAAAGATAGAAAAAAGAGAGAGAAGTGAAGAAAAAGCAGAGAATAAAAAGAGACCGGATGTTGACAAATTTCATGTCACTGTTCTTAGAAGGTCGTTTGTTTGTGAGAAGATTTCTTATCTGGGATCTCTCTCTTGCCATTTCTTATTTTATTTTATTTTTCTCTTTCTCTCTCTAAAAAAAGGAAAAGAAAATAAAGCTCTATTCTTTCTTCCCTCCCTGTGAGTCTGCGAGAGAGAAAGAGGAACAAGAGTGGCCCAGCAGATCGAAATCGATGATCTAAGCTTCTTCAATGTTGTTGCAGCAACACCCACTTCGCTCTTTCTCCTACAATTGTTGGTTTTCCCTACCCTTTTTCTTTTGCTTTCTATTTTAGTTCCGAGTCAAACACTTCATTTTTGTAGCGGATTCTTCAGAGCAGATGATAAGAGGATGTGGGTCTAAGGTAATTTTCCATTACTTTCTCAATTCTATCTATATTGATTATTATATTTTATTTGCTTTTATTATTTTATAACTAGTTTTTTTTTTTTTGTAGTAAGTTGAAAACGAAATTCTGGGTTCTTATTGTTTGGGGGCTAATTTAACTGCTGGACCTTTTTTTTTTTCATTTATTTATTTTACTTTTTATTTGTAGCTGGAATGTTCAGATGTTTTGTGTTAGTATTTTAAATTCAATTATATCCTTTGGTTTGTTAATTGTTGTATAGGATCTGCCTAATTCATACTTGTCATTCATTTAGGTTCTCTCCCTCTTATACTTTTGGGTGTGTTTTTTTAATATCTTTGTCTATAGTATAAAGAGTGAAATCTGTTGTATCCCTCTAATTACATTGGAGGACAACTGACATAGTTTTGTGAGGAGAAAATTAAGATTTTCTGTTATTTTATTTTCTCCTCCATTCCTGACTCAAAATTGGAGTAAAGAACTTGAGTTCCCCACGTATCAAGGAAGAATTTGGGATGCCTAGTTTATAGCAACTCCACTTCTCCATAGATTTTTTCATTCCAATGATAAAGTTATGTGTACTGATCAATGTTGAAACATGATGTGACTAGCTGTATTCAAATTTGTTGTGTTCCATCAAGATACTGACAACTATGCAAAAAAAAAAAAAAAAAACAGAAAAACCTCTTTGTGTTTAGCTTAATTGTCAGTATTTTATTGGGAACTAGAAAATGTGACCAAAGAATTGATTCCTGATAAGTTGCTGGCATACAAGTCTCGCTTGTTCAACTGTCAGAATTGATGACTGATATTCTTGGTCAAAGTTGTCAACCAAAAAAATATTGGAATGCACTGGGGGTATTTTGTCCAATATTTGATGTTATGAAACATTTCCAAGTTGGCATATCATGAGGCTATTTTTATATGTTTTTATTTGTGAATTAAAATTGGTCCATGGGTTTTTACTTTTTACTATATCTCTAGCAGTTTACTAGGGTAACTGGTCCTCACCCAGAAATATTGAAAGCAATGCAATTGTCAGGACTCAGTCTGTCTGTTATTTCAAGAAACCGGAACGCTTTCTTGGAAGCCTAAAACATGCAGACTTATAGTTTGCCATTGATAAATGTGTGCATTTAGTGACTTGAATGTTTCATACGTTTCCAACACTTCGGCAATCCCATTGGTTGGCTACTACAGTGATGTCATTGTCTTTACTTGTTATGGTAGTCTGAAGTAGTAAATGTTATATCTTGGTAAAATTAGACATTGCCATATTTGTTATGCAGCATTCTGCTGATACTTCTGAATACAAGAGTTGTGAATCTAATTGGTAGTTAACATAATTATGCCTTTTGAAAAGTTAACCTATATGGTAACTGCTATGAGCCACATTGTTGTGCGCAAAGCTTTTGAGCAGAAACAGATGTTTTCTACCTGCCATAAGGAGTCTTATGGTTTAAGGTTCTCAAGGTTGCTTGGTGTTGTAGTATGTTCTTTCTTCTTATCCTTGTCTCTATCATATCAAATTTGTTTTACATACTCTTTCTAGCTCAACATATCAGTAAATACTTTCACCCATTTTTTCTGGTTAACCGTTTTCACCTTGGCTGATGTATTAACGTTACATGTTTGTTGTGATATAGTGAACTTTGCTTAATCTAGCAGCAGGTACCCATTTGCATTTGATTTAGAAATCTCACATGGAAATTCTTGTTTGTAATTAAATCCTTTTTTAAATACGAGTTGATTCTTTCCTGCATTTGTTTAGGTAAACCACATTTGTTTTCAGGACAAAAGCTAATTTATAGAGTTGAAAGGAGTAGTCATTAGATTCTTGTTGTACTTCACATAACTTGGGTACTAGGTCTTTATTGTCATGCATTTAATGGCCTTAAAGTGGTATCATACTTGTGAATTGGGTGTTATGACACTGGTCAGCTCAACTTCACATATCTTGAATTAAAAGGAAAAACATTATATTTGCATTTTTACATATGCATTGGATGAGGAACAATAGGAATAAGCGCAGGAGATGGAATCAAGAGGGAAACAAATTATTACCAAAGGACTTCTTATATAAAATCAGTTGAGGAGAGGAAGCTAGAGTTCCAGTTCCAGACCTAGAGAGAAATAAGTGACAGTTAGGAGATGATGAGAACACTGGTTCTTTAGTGATTAGTAAGCATTTTTTATTTTCATTTGAAACTAATAATTTGCAGTTTTACTTAACGGTGAAATGCAAGACTCATAGAAAGTGGCATTATAATGATAGACTTTTCAAATGCCTTTTTCTTTCACTATGTGAAGCTGGCTGGCAAAAGTTGCATGGCTTATGAGGTGCTTGCCTCTTGTTCTTTGGTTCATTATTCAACTATTTTACTTTTTCTGTTCTCTGAATAAGATGCACTACCATAAAGTTAATCTACTCATGGCAAAATACAAATTTACAAATTTTCTTAAATACTCTCTAACCATACTGGAGTTGTGAAGATTCTATATCAAAATTGAAGATTTATTTTCATTCATATACACTGATCAATGTACTTGAGAAGAAGTCAAAATCGTATCCCTTTGATCATTCTAGTAAATTTAATTGATAAATTAAGTAAAAGAACTGAAAATTTATTATGTGCAAGTATCTTTGCTAGCATGGTATATTTTATGTCATTAAATTTTGATTTGAGTCATCCAATTATTTGGTTGCTTGTGTGGATTGTTTTTTGACTATGTGTGGTATTTGATGTCATGCAATATTTGGAAAGTTAAACAAAATGCATACCTTTTTAATAATAATGTGTCCAAAATAAATCAAGATATTGCATGGATTGTGATATTCTTGGGTCAGGTTGAATTTAGAGGAGGAGGAAGAGAGAAATAGAAAGAGGCATGCTTTAAGAGAGAAAGTCTGAATGGAAATATTTATTATTCAGTAGAAATGTGGTACATAGATTATGCAAGACACCCATATATATGCAGGCTCTTAGTAGACTTAGTGGAGACTATTTCCAAGTCTATTATTAATTCAGTGCAACTTCCTAGACACTTATACCCATGAATATTGAATGCATTTTATCATGATATCATCTGGTACATGAACGTACCACTACCACTATTCCTATATACTTCTCCAGAGAGAAAAAAAATTAGATAGACGAAAGAATGCAATTATTTTGTTAGAGTTATTCGGTAAACTTGCTACATACCCTATATTAGTTGGTCTCTCTTGACCATTAGGCTACTTAATTTGTGTAAATGCTTTTTTTATTGTTCTTAGAAATCCTATATGAACAAAAGGTTTAAAAATTAACAATTAAATTGTCTTGAACTTACATGGACAGATAAATAGGAACAAATTTCATCTTCTCTTTTTGAACAGATAAATAGTACGAGGTAGTATTTCCTAAGTGCATTAACTAATACTATTTTCAACAGGTTTAATTGGAAGCTATGTATTTGTTAATTTGTTATAGGACACTCATTTACATATAACTGTGTTCAATTATCAGGGATGGGAACCAAAGTTCAAAATCTGCCAGGATATTACTCAATGAGAGATCTTAATGAGGAATCCAGCAGTTGTGGCTGGCCCCTATTTTATGGAGACAAAACACTGGCAAATGGGCAATATTATCATAATTATCTGTCCAGTGCTGCTGCAGATGTGTGGTCAGCATATGATAAGGATGTTGTAAAGCAGATGATGCTTGAGCATGAGGCCATATTTAAGAATCAGGTATGTGTTTTGGCTGTTTAAAGGATTAAGTCTTATAAATCAGTTGAAAAAGAAATGTGAGAGGTTTTTCTTAAAATCACTGTCTTCAGAGGTTAATTTCATTATGTATCCTATGATTGGTGAACCTATTGATATATTTAAATTATGTATTATCAATCAGGTCTTTGAACTTCACCGCTTATACAAAAAACAAAGGGATTTGATGGATGAAGTTAAAATGAAAGATTTATGCAGAAATCAGATATCTGTTGAGACAACATTTTCCACAGGTCCCTTGGCATCTCAGATAACATCTGAAGATGGTAAAAAATGGCACATTCCTGGCTTTCCACTAGTAGGAAGTTCTACCTGTGTTAGACCATCTATTTCAGGTGTTGAGGGCATTCATTCACCTTTGGGTTCTAATAAAGGAATCAGTAAGTATGCTGGTCTCTTCCGTTCCCCAAATGGGAGTTGCTCAAAAGATGTTGAGATACTGGAGTCCAGACCCTCAAAGGTGAGGAGAAAAATGTTTGACCTTCACCTTCCTGCTGATGAATACATGGATACTGAGGAAAATGAAAAACTTAGTGATGAAAAGATTAGTGGCACAACAACATTTCTTCCTGATAGAAATTGTAAAGATGAAAAGGGAGGTGATGGGAATCTTTTTTGTGGCAATGGTGGGATGACTGTCAACCAGGAAGACACTGCACGACCTGAGCAGTCTTTAAAGAGCAGAAATGGGTTGGCTGACTTAAATGAACCTGTTCACGTGGATGATACAAATGATGTTGGATACGTTCCTCCTCTGAACCATAATCCTAATCAAGGAGAAACTGAATGCTCTGATCAATCTTCCAAACAGAAGTCAAAGTTCTTTGATTTGTACAAGGAAGATTTACAAAACTCGCATCATGGCACTGGCAGTTGGGCTCAAAATAATGGATATTTAGACAATGATAGGAGTGGGCAAGAGTGGATTTCATCAATAGAGTCAGGTTAGATTGCTTATTGAGCCACTTCAAATTTATATTTTGAACCTGCTTTTGCAGTGAAATGCACCTGCCCATCTAATACATTTTGAAGACAAATGTTAGCTAAATTAGCATGTTTTGCAGTGATTTTGTTGACATACTTTGATACACTACTTTTTTTAGTGTTAGTGAATTCTATATTTTTTGCTCCAACTAGAATTTGCAAATTATTTAGAAAAACATTTTATTTCTAGATCTTTTTTCTGTTAGATCAAATCTTCCCCTTTTGATTATTTGGCAGTAAACAAATACTAATGCTGACATGATATCTGATAAATTGTGCCATAAAATCAAGTTTTTAATGATTGCAGGGCAAACTAAAAGCAATCTGAAACCCATGCCTCAAGTTCTCAAACAAGAGACATCGCTTCTATCATCCCACACAATGCAAGATGCACTTGGTAAAGCTCATGAACCTACACCTGATTATCTAACTAATCAAAGCAAGGCTGAGTTATGGAGGGAAAAGACAGCTAGTGGATTAGATATTAGTGAAAGGAATCATGAACACTCTGATAATAAGCCTCTAGAGTGTGTTGTATCATCACATAGGCCTCCCTTTGCAATTGCTCCTTCCTCGGATTTAGGTAAGCCTTGGTCTCACTCACCTTGGGAAATGGCAAGTAGCACCTTAAACCAGAAGTTGATATCTGTACAGACAGCTCCATCTCCATGTCTAAATGCATCTGGTGCCTTGAGTAGGAGTTCCCAGTCGCATCAAAGCAATGATATTTTGGGAGATGGTTGGCCTCTAAATGTCAATTCAAAGCTTAATCAAGGTTTTCAAAGTGAGGCATCTGGGCAGAATGAATTTTACCTCAGGACTACATCCGGGTCCAAGGAACTGCCAGTGAACATCTCTTCTATTAGCTATCCCAACCATAATGATTGTAGGAAATTTCCTGAACACTTCAATGGTTTAGCAAACTACAAGAGTTCAAATTTCAATTCAAATTGCAAAGATATGAAGTCTGAAAAAGATATTGACTTGAATGTGCTACTTTCAAATGGTTCATCTGACAACATAGTTTCCCAGTCTGGTCTTGGAATCATGGATGGAGAAAAGAAGCATGAGGAGCAGCTTGCAGTGTTGCCTTGGCTAAAAGCCAAGACAACATGTAAGAATGAGGCACAAAATGCTGGTGGAAGGTTAAGCACCACAGATTTAAATGTTTTCCAAAGTGCTTCGTTGTATAACAAAGATGACCCTGGAAAGGTGTCTAATGGAAAATTTATGCACAATGTAACTTCAGGTTTGTTTTCTAATAATATTGAGCCAAGGAGGACAGAAGTAAGTGAGAGCTCTAGTAAAAGGAAAATTCTTGGTGTTCCCATATTTGATATGCCTCATATTTCTGCCGCAGAATCATCTTTACTCACATCTCCCTCTGTGTCAGTTCCTATTCCATCTGATGTAGAATTAGTGGAAAATAATCGCAAAAACCCAATACTTGATATTAACTTGCCTTGTGATGCTTCTGTTCCTGAGTTGGACAGAGGAGCTGAGACAGAAATTATTGTTTGTAAGAAAGGATTATCGACAACAGAAGCAAACCCCATGAATTATATTGATCTGAACTTGAGTATGAGTGAGGATGAAGTATTTCTGACAACTATTCCAGCTACCAACTTTAAAAGGAAGGCAGAAATAGATCTTGAAGCCCCTGCTGTTCCTGAGACAGAGGAGGATGCCGTTGTCAAAGAAAATCAGCTTGAAACTCCTTTAGCATCACCATTAAGCCCACAAGACACTGTTGAAACACAGCAGGATGAACTTATGAGGTATGCAGCAGAAGCGATTGTTGTCTTGTCATCTTGCTGCGATCAAGGGGATGATGCGATCAGCAGTCCATCAGAAAGCCCGGCAGTGGACCCACTAAGTTGGTTTGTCGATATTGTTTCCTCGTGTTTGGATAATCTGCAGAGAAAGGCTGATAATTCAAGGGAAAAAGATGGTGAGGATAATGAGGAAACTACCCCAGAAGGAATGGACTACTTTGAGTCCATGACATTGAAGCTGACAGAGACCACAGAAGAAGACTACATGCCCAAGCCGCTTGTTCCAGAAAACTTCAAAGTGGGAGAAACTGGAACAACCTCTTTACCTACTCGGACACGAAGGGGACCAGCTAGGAGAGGGAGGCAAAGGAGGGACTTCCAAAGGGACATCCTTCCTGGTCTTACATCTTTATCAAGGCACGAAGTAACAGAAGATCTTCAGACGTTTGGAGGGCTCATGAGAGCAACAGGTCATGCATGGCATACAGGATTAAACAGGAGAAACTCTTCTAGGAATGGGCGTGGCAGGGGTAGGCGGCGATCACAGCCACAAGTTATCCCTTCTCCACTTCCACCTCCTCCCCCTCATCTGTTGGCAACCATTGAAACATGTACCCCACTCATTCAGCAGCTTAATAACATTGAAGTGGGATTGGAAGATAGAAGCCTAACGGGATGGGGCAAGACAACCAGAAGGCCCCGTGGACAGAGGTGCCCGGCAGGTAGTCCTCCATCAATCCGGTTAATCTGATCACTGTAAGAGGCTAAAATTTATAGGTGAGAATTTATAGAGGGTAAACTATGCAGGTTCATTTCCTTATTGATGGAACACATGATGTTCTATCTCAAGCACAGGAATTTCTCTTGTACATTTCTTCAAACCCGTATTTGGGTATATACTTGATTTTCAGTCAGTCTTGTGATACCATCTTGTATTATTCTTAAATAATGTGGCATGATTTCTTCTTGGTTATCTCTTTAAGAACTGTTGAGGGGAGATGTATACCAGCGTGTGCTCAGTCCTGCATTTACTAGTGATTTTTTCGTTACACTACATATTAGGCTGCATGCTTGAAACACTACATTTTAGGCTGCATGCTTGAATGAATTGGACCTACATCAAATAGGAATTTTAGCTTATGACATTGTAGAGATGTTTTTTTTATATGGATATGTATCGTGAGATTGTTCTCCTTAATCAAAGTTCTTCAGTAGTGAATTCAGAGACTTTTATGTAACTAGTAAGGAAGCATAGATGTTGAGTATAAATAAATTTTCTATTAAATTGCAATTCCCCTTGTTATAGGAGTAACTCTTATGTAGATTCACCTTATTATATGTGTTCAAATCAATAGTTAATATGTATAAAAACGAGTTTTATGAACAAGTGCATTTCTAACACAGCTTTCACAATCTTTTATGTCAACTATTAATTTGAGTATTGATCATACACCATGCATATTTCAGATTTTTTTTTTCTTTCTCAAAGTCATTGATCTGCATGATGTCCGTACGCGTGAAATTATTGAAGTGCAACAGCGAGTTAGGTAGACCAAGGTATCTCCATCCTGTGAAGCATGCCATCAGGAGTGTGGCATGAAAATCTTGAAGAACGAGCTTGTTCATTTGATAAGGTCCAAAGCTGCTCGATGGTGACATCGATCCTCTATTCTACCATCAACTTTTCATTTTATACACACCTTAACCTATCAAAATCCAGCAACTTTAACTGTTATTCTCCAAAGCAAATGGACAAATATTTAACTTTAAGAGTGTTTAATTTAAGGTTTGTAAAATCAGTTTTAAGAAAGAAAACTTAGGAGTTAATGTTTCTATATTTAATACAAAGTTTTTTAAAATATATTCATGGGTATTGTTCAACTTTAGGAAAGTGAAATTGGGTCATGTTTTGTTAATTTATTTTCTTGGTGACGGGTAAATATGTTGCTTTTCTATGAAAATGGGGGAAACAATCTGTTACCTAACTATTAACTTCTATTTTTACTATTCCTTTTTTTTTTTTTTCATTTGAATATTAGAAATCATTTATAAACATAATAAATAAATAAATATAATCGAACATGTTTTTTTTTACCCAAAAATCTAATATCTTCATTTCAAAAGATGGAGTAACAAAAATTAATATAACAGAGGCGAACAATAGGTAGAGTAGTAATGATAGCAACGAAGGTGAAAAAGAAAAAGAAAGGGGCAACAAAAATTGAGTAAACCTCGTATTAGTTGGGATAAAGTGACTAACTTTTGATAAAATCGATAATTATCATGAGAGTTTACTTTTGTATTTTTTGGAATTTAATATTATATTTTAAAGTTTTTAAAACTTGGAAGCTTAGTATATGCTTTTAAGATTGATAAAAGTCATATTTTAAAGAGGCTGATAAATATTAATTTTATTACCAATTTAGATCATTTTGAAAATGATGATCATAACTTCTATTCAGATTGTTATTCTCAATATTCTTTTTTTATGTGAGAAAATTATAGAATAAGTTTCTATAGAATGATTGGTTAGGTATAAAAATTTGCCATTATATATTTAATTTTTTTTTAATAATACATCATTGTAATTTGAGCCACGTAAGATAATATTTTTTAACATTAAGTTTCATTGAAATACTATTATTAACAATTATGAATTGTAATCAAAGTGACTAATAATAAAAAGTACACATCGTGCCTTTGGTTAAATTTGAATCCTAAAGCTAAAATCTAAGGCTTATTTGGTTGGAGTATGAATATTAAATTTTGAAAATTTTAAAACTATTGTATATCCACTGTTGTTAAAAAATATTATAGTTTTGAAATCTAGGGAACTGTTTTTTTAATTATTTTTAACAATAAAATTTTAAAAATATTCTTTTATTGAGGAAAAATATTATAGTAAAAAATTTTAAATTATTTATTTATTTATTGTTATTATATAATCTTTCAGTATACGATTTATTTATACACATTTTCTATGCTAATTTTTACTTTCCCAATTATTTTCTCCTAACGTTATTTCGTATTTCATCTCTAGTCTAAAACAATAGAAAAACGGTATAACTGCCAAACCCTGACCGCATGAAGAAAAACCAAGTAGATAATTGAAAATGGGCTTCATGTAATCTTTATTATTATTAACCTTTCTATATTATGTGCTTTTTATCATGGGAAAAGTTACAAATATTTTTTGTGTGGTAAATAAATTTTTTTTTATTGTTATTTAGTCTTTAATAAAGATTTTATTCTTGGTACTTTGAATAATAAAATTCCATTTGAATCATTTTTCATATGTTTAGATTTACACCTATTATTGATAATTGTTTAACGTCTTTAAATATTTGCTTTGGTTAATTTATATAAATATGAATAAAATCTAATAATTTAAGTGTGTTAAGTGTTTTTTAATTTAAAAATTGAAGCTTATTTATAATCAAGTAGTTGAAATGCATAAGATAGTGATAAAATTATAAATGAGATGACTACAAAGGCCAAGGTTGTTATCAAGACAATTTTGGATGAATGGGTTTTATGGTGACAAAATAATAGTGTACAAGAGAAGATTAGAGATTAAAGAATATGCTTTAAAACTTTGCATGTACGTAATAATGATAAAAATTAAGTAAGGTATCGTAATGCAAGAAATGATATAAATAAAATACTGAGCAAAATATGATCTAATTTTAGTAAAAAAAGAATATATAAATTATCATAAGTAGAAATTTTTTTTTAGAAATTTAGATCAAGTTAGATCTTCTAAAGATGAAGAAGAAAATATTTAGTTACAAATCAATACATCAACAATAGATGGGAATTCATAGAAATAAAAAAAAAAGTTCAAACACTATTTTTATAAACTTTTTAATGATAGATAATGAACAAATAAAAATATAGAAGGATTATGAGTGTAAGTAAATGATTTAAATTTAACATATTATCTTAAATTTTGAATTAGAGAAATAAACAAAACTTTTTAAGAGAAATAATAATGTAAAGTAGTTGGTTACAATAATATCTCTATTAATTAATAATATTTCTAAGAATTTAGTTTTTAAATGAGTTCAATGATATCATATAATTGACTTAAAAGTGAATTCAACTTAGAAGTTATAACTAAAAAATAAAGAAAACGTAGATATATAATAGTTAAGACGTGAATATATATATATATATATATATATATATATATATATATGCCTTCATATTGATTAAAAATATAACGAGAATACATTTTCAATCATGCACTAAAAATTCAACACTATGTAAAAGTTTTTTTAGCAAGCTCTCTAGGTTTAGCCTCTACAAATACATCTCATAGACCAAATAAAAAAAATACACATCAATATTATGATTTGAAATTCATAAAATAACTCAAATTACACTAAAATCACTGATATCTTACACCAAATCAATTCATCTAATCTTGTGTTCAATTGACATTTCTCGAGCACATCAAGACACAAAACATAAAAGAAAAATACTAATAACACACTCTCTATTCTTTTTAATGTATTCTTAATTATTTCATAAAATTTATTTAAAGTAAATGATTTTCTTTTCTAATTAATTATTCTCTTTTATATTTTTAGTAATTTGTAATAAGTTTTGATCAATAATGTGTTAAATAAATTGTGTCAGATAATGTTTTTTTTAAATCACTCCTTATGCTTAAAAACATTATTAATTGGGTAACTAAAAACAAGAAATTTGTAGTTTAGGAAGATGAAACATGGATCTTAAGTTTACACTCTTCTGCATCCAAAATGCACTTTTGATTGCCTCATCACTCTCAATCCTATTCACCTCTCTCTTACGAAACTGGCTTTCTACCTTCACAACACATAAGGTAAAGGAATTTATATTGGAATAATTTTATGTTTATAGGGAGAGAGCTTTATATAGGAAGCCTCTAATAAACTATTAGTAACAGTAATCAAAAGAAAGCTAACAATACAACTAATTAGTAATAACAGAAAGATAACAAGCTAACATAGTAAATTAGCCATTTTCTATTTTATTCCTATTATCTAATACTCCCCCGCAAGCTGAGGAGTAAATATTAATGACTCCCAGCTTGGAAACCAAATAAGAGAAGGAGGAAGGCTCAAGAGCTTTAGTCATGATGTCAGCTGTTTGTTCAGAACTAGTGATAGGCAAAAGATGAAATAATTTGGCTTGAAGCTTCTCCCTAACAACATGACAATCAATGTCAATGTGTTTCGTGCGTTCATGAAAAATAGCATTGGATGCAATATGTCGAGTAGGTTAACTATCACAATACAATAATGCTGGACTAAGGAAGGGAATTTTCATATCCTGCAGAATATATGTCAGTCATTGCAGTTCACACACAGTGGAAGCAAGAGCCCTGTACTCAGCTTCAGACGATGATCTGGATGTAGTGGATTGCTTCTTGGATTTCCAGGAAATTAGAGAGTCTCCTAAGAAGATGCAGTAGCCGGTGATGGATCTTCGAGTCTCTGAACAAGTTCCCCAATCTGAATCACTAAATGCTTTAAGCTGTAATGTAGAAGAAGTGGGATAGAATAGGCCTTGTCCTAGTGCTCCTTTGAGATATCTCAGAACTCTTACTGCTGACTTATGATGAAAGTTTGTAGGGGAAGACATGAACTGACTAAGCTGCTGGACAGCAAAAGAAATGTCAGGTCTGGTTGTAGTTAAGTAGAGAAGCTTTCCAATGAGTCTCCTATACCCTGCAGCATCTTGATAAGGTTCTTTATCAGCTGTTTTGACCTTATGTGGCTTGACCATAGGAGTAGGAGCAGGCTTGGCTGCAAGATAACCAGTGTCAGCAAGGAGATCGAAAACATATTTCCTCTGAGACAGAGTGATGCCAAGATGAGATCTTGCAACCTCTAACCCAAGGAAATATTTTAGGGAACCTAAGTCTTTAATTTTGAATTGAGTGTCTAATTTGTGTTTAACCAATTGAATTTCAGAAGTGTCATTTCCAGCTAAAATTAAGTCATCAACATATACTAAAATAGCAGTAAAATGATCGTTGGTGGATTTAGTAAAAAGAGAGTGATCATGAAAAGATTAATGATAACCAAGGTTGTGTAAATAAGAAGACAGCTTGGCAAACCATTGCCTACTGGCTTGTTTCAAGCCATAGAGAGATTTGTGAAGTTTGCAAACAGAATTAGGAGTAGGAGAAGTGAGACCTTGTGGTATTTCCATGTATATATATTCATCTAAATCACCATGTAAGAAGGCATTATTTATGTCTAATTGGTGTAAATGCCAGTTTTGGGAAG